TTCTTTTATAGGCGATGAAAGAGATGCATGCTTGATGCATGCTATTCATAATATTCATTGTTGTAACTGCATGCTGAGTATGAATACACAATTCTATATGCATTAAAAAATTTTTTTAAAACATTATTGACGGAAAGGTGTGAATTTGTCTATCTATGAACCAGTTACCATCGCTTGATGCTTAAACTGCAGGTAATTTACTCCAGTTGCTTAATAGGAGCCAATCGAAGCTTGGAAGCTAAAAGATCGGCCAAAAAGTAAACACTTTTTGGTTGTTGGGCGTTGATTTACCGGCGTTATGTTTTTAAGTTCGATGGACTGTGTATGTGAATGAAGTTGTACCAATGTTCTGAACTAGTTAATAACGCATGCCAATACAATACTCAAGCGCGTGATCGTTGTAACGTCGATAAGCACGGCATTGAAGAAACCTGGGGAATGTGTGACCAACAAACAACACGTTTGAATTTTTTTCGCAGCATAGACTAGCGCAAAGGTCAGAGTTTGCTCTGATCTTTGCAACAACAGATCAGAGCAAAGTTGCAAAGAGTCAGATCAAAGATCAGAGTTTGATCAGAGTTTGCTCTGATCTAATGAATCTTGTGTACAACTTGTGTGTAAGAATTAAATTTAAATTCAAGTGAATAAAATCCAAAGAAGATTAAACAGACACAGATATGGTCCCTCAGATACAGATTATTAGCTTTTTGATATTTTATCAGCTACATTTCTTTACTCATCATATTATATTCTAGTTCAACCATTTGTCCCGCGAGTCACGATCACAGGGAAGATGATCTTGTTCATGGCGAACGTGGAGAAATTTCGTTAATTATTATTTAGTTGTTAGAAGTGACAGACATAACTTTATTGACAAATATTCCTATTATTCAAGAATCCTGTCATGACTTGCAAAGCCTTTACTCGGGTGCGAAGTTCATATTTTACTTGGGTGCGAAGCAAATAATTAATTAGTCAAATTAATGAGCGATAACTAAAAATTTTTTTATGAGAGGCATAAATGATATAGAAAATGAATAATATCAGTTTAAATTTGCGCTTGGATATTGTGCTCGATGGCACAATAATATTTGTTGTAATAAATAAATAAAAAGTGAAAAATTGCTTAAGGCTTTTTATCCCTTTGAAGGGAAGTAGAAAATCAAACAAAAATAGTCTGAAATGTTTTTCCTTTGAAAATTAAATCTCCCGAGCCAAGGCTGAGGAAGAACTGAGCACCAAAGTAGGAGTTTCGCCTTAGCTTTCAACAACGGAGGTCATCAATCAAATTGCCGACGCGATGGCTCTGAAGAAATCTTTTCGGGCTGGCGCTACAAAATTGCAATTTGTAGCTAAGTTTCATACAAATAAAGTCAGAGTTTTTTTAACTGAATGAGTTTTGGGAAAGCAAGACATGGAGAAAGATAAAAGATAAACATTAACTACTATACAGATGAATTTTAACTTAAATTAGAAATACATCAATTCGTGTACATTGTCATATGGGATGAAATGAATAGAAGATAAAAATAAGAATTTAGAATAATTTACTTATTCATGGACCAAACCTGGATGAACTTTTTCAACCTGTATTGCCGTGGAGAACAATTGTCGAAATATTATGGTAATTTGCGTCCGGTTGACTGATGAACAATTTTCTGTACGATGTCATAGTCATCACAATAGGAGCAACTTAATGAAAAGATATTTCTTCATCACAGATCGAGCTGCTATCAATTCACATTGTTTGCATTATCTGAGAAAAGAGATCTTAACTAAGAAAAAATCTAAGGTGACAATGTAATTGATCGCTTTTCTTTCAAAAAACGCTTCATTTTTTCCAAGTTTCGTTATTTTGACATCGAAATGCACTTGTTCGTGTTGCGCGCTGCTGGTACGAGAACAGCTTGATTTTCTTCAACAATAAGCGATTTTTTTCTGTCTAATTTCAGAAATGGTGAAATGATGTTAGCTTCTCATAATTCATATATCACGAATTTGTAATCCCTTCAAAAAAAGGGTCGGACATGCATTCGCGGATGTGTTCATTTTGTTTTGGTAAAATATGTATGATAAATCATTTAAAATGAAGCTGTTACTATGCTACGACAATAATTTCTCAGCAAATTTGACCATATTAAACTATCATTACACGAATGGTACCATAAAAAATAAATAACAAATTTTTTTACCAATTTAGCTTCACACATCGATAAACATTTTCTATCACGAAGAGATTATTGCTCAACAGCATCACTCTTGTGCTAGTCCCTCAGTGTCTCGTCTCTGATACCTTGAGCTGCGCTAGGGTTGCAGTGAATCATTTCAAGGTCTTTTCTTCAATTTTTTTCCTTTACTTTCAGAGTGGCGCTCCTGCAACAACAAGTGATGGTAAACCCAAAATTGACCAGCGTCCCGTTAAATGAACTTTAAAAAGATTTCCCTTCGCAATTTGTACAGAAAAAATAAAAAAAATTGATCAAGGACATGACGTAAGCGTTATCAAAGGAACGCCACGCGATGACGCCCGAGCGATCGAGAGATTCCCGTCCTCTGAGTCTGAATTCGAAGTGAGTTGGGATTTTTCGTCGTAAATTCAACGTATCTACAAACTAGAATGGAAAAAAGAGTTCAAGCTTTATAATTCTTTCAGAAATTTGAGTACGTTTTGGATTTAGTTTTCAAATAAAAACAATAGGATACGATCAAAGTAAACCAAAGGAGCTAACAAAAAACATCTACCGAGTAAGCAATGCATGAAGAGTACTGATAAGACCAGTATCAAATGCTTATCATGACACTGGTCGAGTCCTTGATTGTAATGGGAAGCTACGTGACTGGCAACTTAGTCATGCTCCGTTCAAGGACAAGATAATCTAAACCCACCCACCGTTGCGTCGTCGGTAACCCACGCAGCGAACGAAGCCTCAGTTTCGCTCGTTTGCTAGTGCATTGCAGGTGCCGAGCCTAGCTGCTCCTGCAACTAACACCGTATAGTTTGTGAATTTCCTGTATAATTTTTTCATTTCCTTAATACTCATGCTCTTGATCAGCATGAGACACTTCTTCTCCTTGAAAAGTGCAATCGAATGGCTAGAAAATTACTTCTAAGACAATTTACCCGCAGTTGACAGTTCCAGTGGTGGAAATTCAATCGTTGACCATATGGTGCATAATGAATCCAATCATGGTGTGATTAATAGCGCGTCTAGCCCACATATTGGTGTTGTTGTTACTGTAAATATTGATGATGCAATTGCACCGGCAATAAATTGTAATTGTTTGCTATCCAAACAAGCGAAGATGGAATAGAACATCCCACTGATGAATTGGATGAAAAAGTTGTAGCTCTTTCCCCAGGCCAATATTTGTATGTATGCGCTGATATGTAAGCTCGAACCCCATAAAGCTTCCAGCAGTGACATAGATTAGTGCATTTCGGAAACACTGCTTTTAAAAGTACACTGATCTTCAAAATCGTCGAAAACGTCTTCATATGAAATTTGGTTTACGTTTGAAACTATTCAAGAGTATCTCAGAGTAATATATTAGTTCTAAATTTATTATCGAGAGCTGTTATTAAATTATGAGTATTCAACCTCAGCTGAAAATATTAAGTATTTATTTAATTAGTTTCATTAAAACGAGAATTCAACTGTACCTTCATTCAAAATATTTCGTTGACCATGCTCGCCATTAAATGAAACATTTTGAGAACATCAGTAGAAAGATCAAATTTAAACGAAAGAGATTAAAACTACCGAAAAAAACTGGCTAAGGAACGTAAAAGGCAATTGATTAACAATTTAAGAAGAGGACAAGAACTATAAGCGTTGTTGAGACCAAGTTTCCGTTCACAAATTTACAACGATTCATAAATCGTTAAGGCAATTGATTAACAATTTGAAGAGGACAAGAACTATAAGCGTTGTTGAGACCAAGTTTCCGTTCACAAATTTACAACGATTCATAAATCGTCAAATCTGACGCATCCTTAACCTTAAATAACTATCAGACACTGGGACGTTCCACTGGGCGGCTGAAAAGCGCGCAACAGAATGGGGAGGGTGGGCCCGCAGAACTCTAGAACGATAACACCTTCCTTGATGTTCGGTCACTCTAAGGGTACGCACACAGTGAAAGCAGGTTTGCCCGCAGGGCAACATGCTCCAACCTGCCACAAGAATGAACATAGGATAATAATGTAAGTGTTCACAGTGAAAACCTGTGCGAATAGGCTTCTTTATTCTATGGTTTCAGGCGCCAGCCTGATCAGGTAGCCAGCACGCTGGCAACCTGCTTTCACTGTGTGCGTACCCTAACGCAGAAGTTACGCGAAGTCAGCCCGACGTACGCTTACGTGCACTGCGCACGAGAGCATTTATAAACAGTAGAGAATGATTCTGGGAAGGGAATAACATCTTAATACCTGAATAAAAAAAACAATTTGGAAATTATTGACTAGAGAAACATCTGAGTCAACATTTTGGAAAATATTGAGGTATAACAAATTCAATTTTATAGGGATTGTTTCAAACCAGTTGGAAAGAGCTAAGTGCGATAACTAGTTTTAATTAGTATTAACAACCTCAGGAATATTTGCATAAGTTAATTGCTGTGGTGTATTCATGTTTGAATCGCATCTAATTCAAAACAAATCAAACATGACCTAAAGAAGCTCGTGACCAACACGTAAATTTTGGTTTGCGTCCATTATATTTAGCAACATTATTGACGAGTAACAACATACTGCTGTCCCTCCCATGCTGGCTTTTGCTTCGATTACCTTTTCAACCACTGAAAAATATACTATGAAGTTGTTGTTTATCGCTTGCAAAGTAATATAATCTAATGGTCGCTATCAGTCTTAAGGAACTGCAAACAAAGGTTCACAGATTTGGGAACGAGCTTCTTTAGCTTGTATTTAATTACTTTAAATTTAATGTGATTCAAGCATTGATACACCGCGGCAATTGAATTCGCTCCACTTCCATGCTAAGTTTCTATGCTTCGTCACCGCAGAGAAGTCAGTTAGTTAACGTCATCATTAAAACAGACTTCAGAAATCACAACACCAATAGTCGCCACGTGTATCCTAATCGACGCGATGGTTTCCGAATGGTTGCTGTTCGTCCTCGCAGCGTTTTTCGTTTACTGGCTCTGGAGCGGCAGCAAGCCGCGCTACCACAACCTGCCACCCGGTTAGCTCAACGATGCTTGAACATTAACAATGCTGTTTTATCAACCTTTCATTTCGTAACACTGACGTGTTGCACAAATTTTGGAGAATTTTGTCTGTTCAGCTGATCACGCATCATTATTGTGTCCAGTATTCGACTAGATTCTACTTACTAAATATCATACTATTAGATCTAGGCTACCTACCATGATATTTAATTTTGAATGCGTATTAATCTGGCCTCTAAATTGCATTTCGGAATCTTGAAATTTGATTTGAATAAATTTTCTTGAATCTTAATGTATGATACTTTTCAATCAATCGTGCTTTTATTCAAGTTTTGGAAAATATATTCAAGGATACAAAATGGATACACATTTTATAAACTAAGCCAAGTGAAATTTAAAATTTTTTGCAGGTCCCAAGGGCTGGCCGCTCATTGGAACGCTTCCCAAGTCCGGCCAGTCTTTTGATGAATTCTTCTCGGAGCTCCAACGTCAATATGGTGACATTTTTATGTACGGAACTTGGTACTTATTAAATATTGACGAAAACATCGGACAGTTAAGATATATATTCTAGTGAGTGGGTACTTTTGCTTTTCTAGTAATTTAATTCACATTTAATTGATCTAAAACTGTTTTGTAATTTGCGTGAAAAAATTTCATTAATTTCTCTAAGAATAACCGAAACGAGAATTGCATAAATTGTTAGCAACAATCGTAAAATATAATCAATTTCTGAATACCCCGCGAATTATTGAATTACAATTCAACAAACTCAGCAACTGTCATTACGTTATCCAATTGCTATCGAGAACATGAATCAGATTAAGCTTAAGTCACATAGAACGTTTTTGTTCAAATCGAATAACTATTATTAAAAAAAGGTAGGGAAAATTCGATTTATGGTATGAATTTCATAGCCGTATATATATTTACTAGTATGGTAACGGCGTCACTGTCAACCCTGGGGCTAAGCTCTATAGGCCAAGAAAAGTGAAAAGAATTGTACGTTTAGTTTGAATGCTAGACTTGGTTTATTGTGTGAATTAAAATATGCTAAGATTAGCTATTGTTCACAGCGATTGCGATGTGAATTTAACATAGCAAGCAATTTTGATTTTTGTAATCAGCGGGCTGCATAGAAAATCGTGTCTATAGAATGCAATTTATTTCACTAGAAACGACGAGTGAATGTCATATCGCGACGATATTGAAACGAAGATAATCTCTCATCGCAATCTCCGACTGACTATTTCTTTATTTCTAAGACTGGATCGGTAACGGGTAATTTTCACCACGCACGAAAAGCAGAATTTTAGCTCATTTTAGCTCAAGCAGCATTGAATTAAAATATATTCGTTAAACCGTTAATATTAAACCAAAACGTTAGTAATTACCGTAACAATTCTAATGTAGCGTGTTATATGACTAAAAATCACAAATGAAATTTATGAACAAGGTAATATTGGAGCTACTTAGGGTACAGTTCTAATATTTCGTTGCATTTCTAGTTAGAATGCAAATCGTTTTTAATTAATAAAGAAGGCTGACGCTGCTCAGGTTGCGCGCGGGTTCCGTCGAGATGTTGGGGCTCACGTCCTACGCCCTCATGAAGGAGGCGTACGCCCTCCCGACACTGCAGGGGAGAAGCCAATCCTACACCACACAAATGTTCACTATGTTCACCAACGCGGGTATGTTAAGTTATACGCTAGCCACTTCTGATGACACAAATGTTCACTATGTTCACCAACTCGATCGGGTATGTAAGTTAGAAGCACGCCACTTCTGATGACCCAAGTGTTCACTATGTTCCCTAACTCGGGTATGTAAGTTAGAAGCACGCCACTTCTGATGACACAAATGTTCACTATGTTCACCAACTCGGGTATGTCAAGTTATACGCACGCCACTTCTGATGACCCAAGTGTTCACTATGTTCACCATTTCGGGTATGTTAAGTTATACGCACGCCACTTCTGATGACACAAATGTTCACTATGATCACCAACGCGGGTATGTCAAGTTATACGCACGCCACTTCTGATGACCCCAATGTTCACATTGTTCACCAACTCGGGTATGTTAAGCACGCCACTTGTGACGACCCAAGTGTTCACTATGTTCACCAACTCGGGTATGTTTTTTATAATTGCACCAGCCTCTTTATAATTTGCTATCAATACAACGTATCAACCTTTATCTTTGAAATGAACTTGCCATAATGTGGGAAGCGTTTGAATGAGCTTAAGTGCATTCACTAGAATACTTTAGGGATTAGAATTAGAATTCATTTGAATACTTTAGCATACTGTCGCTGAATTGTGCTGAATGGTTCTTAAACTAAGATATATATGCTTATTTCTTGGAATGGTTCATGAATGAACCATAACTATGAAATCTAGCTCTTTGTTCATTGCAATTTCAAAGCAAATCATTAAGTAACGTATTCAAGCAAACCGATACTTACTACAGAGTAAGACATTTTTAGAACGTCTGCATTCCTTTTCATGTAAAAAAATTAACCAAACAAGCTCTAGGTTATTTTCCTGTCTTGTTGACAAGATTAATTAGAAAAAAATTTTGAGTAGCTAATATAAGAAGTCATGTGAAGGACTCGGATGTTGATGGAGAGCTAAATTCTTTCTGCTCCGCTACTCACTTATCGATCAGTCAACGGGCATAACAATTTAGAGGTTGTTTACTACAACACTTGAGCTTTTCACAAACAAGTCTATTTGAAATAACAACGATCTTGGGTGAATTGCTTATGAAAGGGTATAATTAATATCGTTATTGTAAAATTTATTGCCAAATGTCATTCCAATAAAACATTCGTATATATTTATTTTCGTTTCCTTTGCAAAGTTTAGAATCCGATTAGGATTTAACTCTTAAGTACTGCAAGTTCATACGTGTACTAATAGGTACTGGCAGAGTAGCAGATAGGGAATCCTTCACAATGAATTACAAAGATGTAAAACTATGATCACGCAGGTAATTCTTTCAGGAAATCCGTAATTTAGAGCAATATTAGCGAATATGGACTTGTGTAGTAGGGGATCACATGTTCTGTATGCGGAGGAACTAATTATACTCCAATGTGAAGGGCTTGTGTTCTCTACGGGCAAGACGTGGGTGAACGGCCGCCGCTTCGCCCTGAAGCACCTCAAGGACCTCGGCATGGGCAGGTCCTCCATGCAGACGATCATCCAAGAGGAGGCCGAGGTGCTCATCCAAGACTTCGCTAAGAGCTTGGGCAAGCCAATGCAAGTCGCTTACAACGTTAATGTCGCCATCCTCAACGTCATCTGGCGACTAGTGGCGGGTACGTTTATTAGATGTAGGCTTGCAAGTCGCTTACAACGTTAATGTCGCCATCCTCAACGTCATCTGGCGACTAGTGGCGGGTACGTTTATTAGATGTATAGCCAGGCATGTCGCTTACATCGCTTGTCTGTTGTACAGTTAAGAAGGCAATGCAACAAATGTTTCTTTCGAAGCGCAATCCAATTTTTCTGCCAAACAATTGTTGTGAATATGCGAGTTAGATAGCGCAAATAACTTATTTTTTTCTTGCTTATTTTCGTTTCCGATTTTACGAAAGTACATACAATGTTTTATATATATCAATCTTTATAAATAATTGTGTATAAATATATATCTATAATAACTATCAATCATGTTTCATCTATATTTATTTATGCACTCATATTTTTAAACGCAAGGATTTTTGTGTTTTTGTATCCATTTTTAACCTGTCAACGCAGACGAAAGGTTCGATGTCACCAACGAGGAGATGCAAGCGCTGACCCGCAGAATAGAAGACAACCTCACGCTAATCTTGGGCCCGATGTCGTTGCTGGACTGGTTTCCGTGGCTGAATTATCTGCCTGGATTTGTGAAGGATACATTTTTCGAGACAAAACTCGGTAGAGAAAACATGGAGGCTCTGACAACCTATCTTAAGGTATGTATTTTTAATAAAACTAAAATCGATGTAGGGGCTTTGACACAGCTAAACAAACGATCGTCGTGACAGCCAATGTCAATTACATCATCAAAAAGTAATACTAAGAATAATCTGGAAAATACCGCAAGCGAAATATAGAAACTCTATAGGCCGAACATAATTCGGGGCAGCCTTAAATTTAACTAACTCTGCGGTCACATTAGATGCTCGCTAACCGCTCAAGCCTCTAAATTACAGGCAAAAAATAGGACCCGAACCAGACGCTGATAAATAATAAATTACAGGCAGAAAATAGGACCCTAACCAGACGCTGATAAATAATAAATTACAGGCAAAAAATAGGACCCTAACCAGACGCTGATAAATAATAAATTACAGGCAGAAAATAGGACCCTAACCAGAAGCTGATAAATTGATCTCGGACCACTAGGTTCAAAGTCATGGTATGAATTATCATTTATAGCGATTAATGCAGACCAAAATAAAAAAAATAAAATGATCTTCCATTCTACCCAGCGTAGTCATGGGACAGGGAAGGTATTTGGAGCATACGTTTCGTATGCAAACCCAAAATCCAGTACTGACAATTATCTTTCTGGTAGAGGTCGCATTTTCTGAAACTGTAAAAGTTACTTAGAAGCGAATGTTAATTTTTAGAATAAAATATTTTTATTATTTGCCTGAAACACTAGCATCTCACATGATTATTTAATAATTTTAAGTGACATGAACAATATAATATCATATTATATATAATATTATGAGTATCTTAATATATTATATGAAGATATAATACTTTAATAATATTATATACTAATATTATAAGATAATATCCTCCGGACTATCAGAAAGTGATTGCCAAGCACCAAGCGACGTTAGACAAAGATAACATCAGAGATTACATCGACCGCTATCTCGTCGAGATGGAAAACCAGAAGAATGATCCCGACTCAACCTTCAGAGCGGACTGTAAGTGTATAAGCCATCTAATTTTTTTGTTTGAAAAAGTTTATTTAATATTAATGAATGAAGCCCGTACGACATGTAAAAAAATGACAACTTGTGCAAAATAAGTTGTTTTAGCCAGTTCAAGGGCCATACTTTCAAAACTCGCTAAGTGAACGTAAGTACTTACGCTCTATTTTCTTGTTTATGATTGGTGGATTTGGCTTAAAAGACCGTCAATGATTGGCTGATGAACTTACGATCTCTTAACTTTTTTTGGAAGTATAGTCCCAGGGCAATATGTAAAGAAATGCAGGTATTTTCACCACTAATGCTCTATGACTCAAAAATTTTGCAAGCCTTTCGATGAAATTAATGTAAAAACATCATTTACTCGAACCGCATAACATCACTTACTGCTTTAAAATTTGTAAGAAAAAACATCAGAGTTAAAGGTGCGTTATCATAGAATTTTTTAGTGTGCTGTGTTAGTGAATAATTTTATAATATTCATGAAGTAATTTTACTTCGAGTAAAACTCATGCATTCTATATTGTGCATAACTCGTGGATTTATTTTCGACCATCATGACTCAGCAATCTTAATGAAAATTGTACATCATTTTTCAAAAAAAATTGTCTCCTTGATATTTGATTACCAACATTTTTTCTAGACGCCTATTCTACGTAAATAATATATTAGAAACTTACCCCTGTGATCGAATTGGCTTCAATATGTTCAATGACATCATTCTTAGCTGAAACATCTATATTTCAGTGATATTCATTAGCGATATTCTAACCTAATACTGCTAAATTTTAGTCGTGTTCTATAGCGACATTCTTACCTTACCTAGTACTGCTATATTTCAATCGTGATGGCAACTTTCCAACCTAATGCAGCCGTATTTAAGTGATGCTATACAGCAACATTCTAACCTAGTACTGCTATATTTCAGTGATGTTCTATAGCAGCTTTGTTACCTAATACTGTTATATTTCACTTATTTTCTGCATCAACATTCGCAGCTGATGCTGCTACATTAAAATGATGTTTTATAGCAACATTCTAACCAAATATTTTGATATTTCGGTCATGATCCTTAGAAAAACACTCAGCTGATGCCGCTGTATTTCAGTCATGTTTCATAGATACATTCTCAACTGGTTTGCTAAATTTCAGCCATTATCTATATCAACATTCCTACCTTACCTTGTGCTGCTTTATTTCACACATGAAAGCAACATTCTTACCTAAACTAATACTACTACACTTCAGTCGAGATAGAAACATTCTAACTTCAAAATATAATATATTTCAGTGATAGATCTGACTATTTCAATTCTGGACTTGTTCGCTGCGGGATCCGAGACAACTTCCTCTACCATCCGCTGGTTTATCCTCTACATGGCGGTATATCCTGAAGTGCAGCGCAAGGTGCAGGAGCACATTGACCAAGTCGTTCCCGAAGATCGACTCCCAACCCTGCAAGACGAGTAAGAATTAAAAAAAATACGTTAAAAGAAATTGGCACATCGATTACCTAGCATTAAGAATCCTGGTTTTCTTTCCGGAGCTGTGTTGCACGATGAGTCCATTGGAATAAGTTTCACTTTTTCGATCTGATTCAAAATTTCACTTCAAAAGACACGTAGCTCCCTAATGCATTCATAATTTTGGTTTGTTTGCCCCTCAGACTGCCGTACCTTGAAGCAGTCATTGCGGAAGTGAACCGCTGCATTTCGTTGGCTCCCATCATAGTGCCTCACGTTGCTACTGAGACCACCCAGCTGGCCGGCTATACTATACCTAAGGTAGAGCAGACCACTCATGTTGCTATTGAGACCACCCAGCTGGCCGGCTATACTATCCCTAAGGTAGGGCAGACAACTCATGTTGCTACTGAGACCACACAGCTGGCCAACTATACTATCCCCAAGGTAGGTCAGACCACTCATGTTGCTACTGAGACCACCCAGCTGGCCGGCTATACTATCCCTAAGGTAGGGCAGACCATATTTAGAATATTACATTCAATTTTTAAAACTGAAACGCATAATTTATAACCGGAATTAGCGCCTCATTCTGCAAGACAGTTGAATTTCGATGGCACCTGAGTTAAGCAGTAGTCTTCAATAGTGAAAAATAAACAGACTTCCATGGCAGCAGAAGTAACAGTTATATTCATAATAAATGCCAAAAACAACCAACTGATACAGATGTCGTATGAAGATAATTACGACATCATTTTCGAAGTAACAAAATCTTCTAAATTTTGCCAGTACCATCACAACGTAAATTATTCTAAAATAGCAAAGTCCCTCTTGAACAGGGCACGATGATCATGGGCAGCATCAAAGCTTCGCACATGGACCCTAATCTCTTCGAGGAACCTGAGGTCTTCCGCCCTGAACGCTTCTTGGACAGCGAAGGCAAATTCTTCTCCCGTGAAGGATACATGCCGTTTGGAATAGGTGAGCGACACGTTAGTTATGTTTATAGTTTTAGCTCACATTAATCTATTTTGTTAATAGAGGAACCTTGATAATCTACCTACCACAGTGAACCTTGATAATCTAAGCTATTGCACGTAGGAGCGGCGAAGATTTGTCTCAAAATGTTCTTGATTTGAAAATGGCATTTGATTCTCATTGGAAAGTTTGATTGTTTGTAGTTTCGACTGAGTATTTAATCGTTATTCTTTGTAGATCTATATAATGGTTCTGCTGAGGCCACCCTAAATGAGCAAAGCTTTATAGTAATGAATGGTTAGGTGAGAATAAATTATTATAAAGGTCACGATCATGTGGTGCGAGTGCACAGAAGTTTATCCTGGTAAGGATTATACCAACTCTACGAAAATAAATCAAGCAAGAAAGAAAGATTTGGAGCATAAACAAGAATACTTACACTAGCATTAGAAATTGTTAGCATGCCGGTACACCGAGAACATTCGTTGCAGGGGAACTACCTCTTTATCACTGTATCTCGATATGGCCGTGGAAAGGTTCCAGTGCAGATAAAACACTGAGTATTCACACTGTATTTTGTAAATCACATCTGTACAATTGCGTTGTGCCGTGCAACAATCCTTCCCAGCTCGTAACTAAAACATGAACGAATAAAATCCTGAAAGCTTACGAACCTAAATTGCGTAACGGAAAAGACTAAAATAATGAAAATCGAAAAATTGTTGCTAAGAAATATGAATACATTTATACTACTCCCTAACATCATAAACTCAAAAGTACTCTCATATAAACTATAACTAACCTAACACAGATCATATTGACGGATAAGGTGGATACGAGGTCAGGTGAATTCATTGAACTTGAGGGGAGCGTCATGGTCCGAAAAAAGAAATTTTTTTATTTACGGACGGATCACTCCGAAATTTAATCCACGTATGTAAAACGAAATTCTAAGACTTTTTTGTTCGTGTGAATTTTTCGAAAAAAAGAAAAGAAAACGTAAAATTCTTAGAGAAAGGGGGTACTATAAAATCCATCTCATCCTATGATTTTCACGCTACAACAGCGAGACACATATCATTCGATGTGTAAAAGCCATATCTACAAATTTGCGCAGGCGATTTTTGAAATTCCCATTTTTGTGGGTGTGGGAGCATTTTTTGTAAGTTTCTCGGAAATTTTTCGATTTTACCCCCTCCCCAACCCCCCTTTTTAAAAAATAAAATCCAAACTATAACGAAATTAGAAAAATGCCTGCGCAAATTTGTAGATTTTTTTGTGTAAATCGAATGGTATATGTCTCATTGCTGTAGCTACAAAAATCTAGGGGAAGATAGGTTTGCAGTGAGAGCGTTTGGAGGTTTTCAGGACAGCCGAAGAACCCCCTCTGACGTCGCGTGCGCTATACAAATATATTTCTATTAGCCAAGATACTCAAGTTTCGTGTTAGTTCACTCTGAGGCGACGGCATTATATAAACTATAACTAACCTAACACAGATCATATTGACGGATAAGGTGGATACGAGGTTAGGTGTATTCATTGAACTTGAGGGGAGCGTCATGGTACGAAAAAAGATTTTTTTTATTTACGGACGGATCACTGCGAAATTTAATCCACGTATGTAAAACAAAATTCTAAGACTATTTTGTTCGTGTGAATTTTTCGAAAAAAATGAAAGAAAACGTAAAATTCTTAGAGAAAGGGGGTACTATAAAATCCATCTCATCCTAGGATTTTCACGCTACAACAGCGAGACACATATCATTCGATGCGTAAAAGCCATATCTACAAATTTGCGCAGGCGATTTTTGAACTTCCCATTTTTGTGGGTGTGGGAGCATTTTTTGTAAGTTCTCGGAAATTTTTCGATTTTACCCCCATCCCCAACCCCCCTTTTTAAAAAATAAAATCCAAACTATAACGAAATTAGAAAAATGCCTGCGCAAATTTGTAGATCTTTTTTTGCAAATCGAATGGTATATGTCTCATTGCTGTAGCTACAAAAATCTAGGGGAAGATAGGTTTGCAGTGAGAGCGTTTGGAGGTTTTCAGGACAGCCGAAGAACCCCCTCTGATCGACGTCGCGTGCGCTATACAAATATATTTCTATTAGCCAAGATACTCAAGTTTCGTGTTAGTTCACTCTGAGGCGACGGCATATACACCCTCCCCATGATAGCTCGGGTATAACTGAAGCCCTAGGCTGAAAGAGCACACTAATATGTGCCGGGCTCAAATTTCCTTAGGCAGGTATTTGTTAATGGGTTCACGCAGGGTAACTCTTTCGCGATCTGCCGTGAACGCATAAATCGACGTACAGAGATGGTTTTGGTACCGTTAGACGAGGCAGAATGTAAGCTTTAAGATGAACATAAAAAGCGGAGAAGCAAAAATTTTCTATTTTGGACCAAGACGCTCCCCTTAATAAAGCAAAAAATACCATTACAAAGTAATTCGAATGAAGTCCGAAAATCATTGGACTTTAAATATATTGCTAAAGGAATTAAGTTCCGCAAAAAATTATATGGGTTAGGGTTGTAACCCTTATTGCTCATCTGTATTTCACTCCAATTTACTTGAAGCGTTTCGCCATTACTGTTTGAGCAAATTTTTGATATCTTTTTAAAATACTTTGAGAGATTCATACTCCTGACGTTTCCCTCGTCCTAGTTTATACATTAGAATTTTAATTAGAAATATGTAACTTTACGCAGTATTTTCCTCATCATTCAGGGCGTCGGCAGTGCCTCGGAGAATCTCTAGCTCGCATGGAGCTCTTCGTAGTCGCTTCTTCTGTACTGAAGACCTTCACGATCTCGGCCCCTGAAGGAGTTACCCTCAACACTAAACACGAAGAACCTAACCGCAAACTGGCGGTGCTCAACTTCGCCAAGCCCTACGAGGTTGTTATGAACAAACGCGTTTGAATTCATGATCACTCAAAAGACATCGTTTATGTTTGAAAAATTCAGCCAAAATCATAGAAATACATGACTCATAATACATAATTTCTTTAAAGATTGATAGACTTTCAACTTTATTCTCTCTCTCTCTCTCTATGAGTGGAGTTTGGAAAAATAATAGTCTTCAAATAGACTCGGCTCTACCACACCCTGATGACAGGATGGTAGAGGTTCAGGTTCCCCTCAGGAGATCCAAGTTTACTGCTCGAAAAGTACATTCCACTATAAGAACTTTCTGAATAATTACATTGGAATTTATCCAATTATTTGGACCATTATTTTAAATGTAGGAACCAAATTATATATGTTGTACGGCCTACTGTATTAAAAAATATCAATATTTTTCTCGTTATCCGATATATGCATTGTCTTATTCAAGATGCATTATATAAATAAAATATAATCAAGAATACTTTTCATTTCGGGTCTTATAATCGTTAGCGTTACATCCAACGCTAACAGACCATGTCTATAAGGCACCTCATGACACAGATTTATAAACCATTAATTTAGACCATTTTAGCCCAGGTCATTGCTTTTGTGCACTCACGCAATACAGAAAACAAGATAAGGAGCATTCACGAAGAGTACTGACGATTCTTCTGATTACTAAAAAAGCGATTCCAGGTAAAAAAAACTGGCCCGTACGACAATCAAGTTCGAATATGCAGTTAATCAGCGTTAGTTCAGACTCCTGCGCATTATTGTCTTTGCTCAGCCATATTAAGACATAACTTAGGTTCATCAAGTAACTTCCGGAAAAAACATTCTGTACTTGATAATTTTTCTTTACATAACTATCCGCAAATGCAACACTGATGTAATAAAAATTCCCCAATTTGTCAGTCCTATCATTCTCTCACATCAACATTGTTTAAACTCAGGAATCTTAGGCCTTAAATAATTTGTTATTATTAAATATCCCACCGTTTTCCGAAAAAATGTTATATTCACTAATCGTTTCATGGTTACCAGATATCATAAATCAAATTTACCGCAATTTATTTGGCTATATATTCTGCGAGTACTTGCAGGGATTAAATTTACATTCATTATAGTGGAACAGTTAATTACTGGAGAGCTTTTTATTTACGTAATCTGTTTCAATGGGGAATATCGAAAATTGACGGGCATTTGATACCAATATAAAAAATTAGTATTTGTGGAGATATTATTATAAAATTCAGCAATTTATTCATTATTTCATGATTTTATTAAAACGATGCTTCCAGATTATCATGCATAAAAAGAGGTAGACAAATATTCACACACACAATAATTGCAAAATATTTTCCAACGTATCGAGAATGTAGACTTCAAAAATTTGCAAAAGCATTATGTGCAGCATCATCAATCAATTGCAAGGATTCAATAGAACTCTTGAAGATTCAAACAGAATATGACTTCAATTCGCCCCAATCTTATTATAATGATTTCACTGTACACTCTTCGTTGTACATGGTTTTATGATTGTCATCAGAAGGAAGAACTTTTATGTGTTTTTCGTCATCCTCAGACTTACCTGACGCCAACGTTGGAATGATCAAGTTTGGATGTAAAATAAAAGTTGCTTATGCACATTCAATATTATATAACGTATTATATAACGTTGTATATAATATAAATATATTATATACAACTGTCAACAAATGAACTTCAGACTTTAACTATACACGCAGCATGAGGAAGCATATTATTTATGCAGCGAACTCGTAACATATGTTATTGTAAGGTAATAAAGGTATGTGTTAACACCCTAGCCTATTCCTCATCATATATTTACACGCTGCTATGTTGACATAAACTGAGCTGTTTCTACACTCCATTTCAATATGGGATATAGATATATCTACACGCCTCGTCGGCATCATAGAACTATGTCTCACCCTCACAAACGCGCTATGTCTCACCCTCACAAACGCGCTATGTCTCACCCTCACATACGCGCTATGTCTCACCCTCACAAACGCTGCAAAACCAATATCAATTAAACTCCGTTAAGGAATTTGCCAAGTTAGGCTTACCTTGCCTGTCCCTGAGAGTCCTTGAGCATGACTTCTAGCAGTGAATATTACCTATAGTGTGAATACACGTCAGTTCCTATATGATGCGGCAACTTTGCTACAAAAATAAGGAAAAGAAATTATTGTATACAAAAAATTTGCTAAGGAAAGGAATTGTATACAAAATGATGTTTGATTATAACTTTTTCAGATTCCAATTCCATTTCACCCATTCAATAGTGAAAGAGAGATTGTAGTAAATTTCCGTATCAAACTATTTAAGTTGTAATCTGCAGTGTTCTGGAAAAAACACAATGAAGCTTGATATATAAAGATTTATGTAATATATGAAGACATGGTGCCATGGATAATGTCATAGGAAACTCAAATAGAGAAGAAAATCAAGTAGTTTAAAGCATTTCAAACCCATTTATTACTTTTATCTCTTTTACAAGAAAATCACATTTTTACACTCAGAGATAATTTTTTCAAAATTTATTGCTTTTCGTACTTTCGAAAGATTTCGAATTTAATCTTCGCAATACAAATAATTTATTTTTAGCGCATTTTCTAATTTATGGAAAAATGCACTATTGTACTCGCCATTTCCTTCCGTCCGCCTGTCTGTCTGTCTGTCCATCCGTGACTTCCCGTTTTCGTCGACGAGAAAATGCTCTCTCTGTCCTGTCACTCACTGCAGTGGGTACTGAGCTATATTTTTTGGCAACTAGCACTGGCCTGGATCCTGATTGTAGCATGAATAAATGAAAAAAGTCGATGTTTTACTTACATAAGCTGACAACTTATTCATTATACACTGAATGCATTAGATTAAGTGAACACTTAATGATTACTTACTGAATGGATCAAGTGAACGCTTACTGATCACTTATTGGATGGATCAAGTGAACGCTTACTGATTACTTACTGAATGCTTCAAGTGAACGCTTGCTGATTACTTACTGAATGCTTCAAGTGAACGCTTGCTGATTACTTACTGAATGCTTCAAGAGAACGCTTACTGAGAACTTACTGAAGGCATCAGCTGAATGAATACAAACTACGTACTAAAAGCCACTGCTGAATGCTTACTCATTGCTCACTTGAAGCAACAGCTGAATACTTAATAATTACGTACTGAAAGCTTCAGCGTGCTGCTCTGTGCTGTCAATGCAGCGTCAGGCAGCAGGGCCGGAGCAGTGCTGGAAGTCAGCTTTAGATGAAGTGGCAGAGTTAATTAGTCAGCAGCAGTTTTGCTGCCTGTGTTAAGTAGTTGCACGGGCATCAACCTCCCACCAATCTCTTTACGCAGACTTTTAGCCAGCACAGCAGTCTAGCAAAGAAACAAACCCTTGATTAATGTAGAAGAAATACATTTTATACCTCCTGAGCTACTTGATCAATCTCTTGAAAAAGAGTTCAGGGAGATGATAGGGGCGAGAAGAGAGAGTGAATCTTCTAAGTCTGCTTGAAAATGCACCCATGAGCGTCTAATTCCCCCGTTAAAGACGATCGGCGCGGGGATGGGGGGTTCATTTTCGCCTGTTTCTGTTGCTGTTGTAATGAATCATTTGTAAGTAGATTTTTTATAATGAGTTTGGACCATAAAATTCATTAATTTACTTTGGTTTCTGCGACCTATGAGCATTAGTAGGATTTTCAGAAAAGGTACGATCTATTTAACAGCGACCTATTCAAACAAAAAGCGACCTATTTATATAAAAAATTTATTAAAAAGCCAAATCTTATATGCATCTTTTATTTCTGGAAATTTCCTTTTTTGGGATTCTTTCCTTCGTAAAGCTCGTCGCTCTTTAATAATTTCACAAATCGTTTGTGTTTCCCTCTATTATAGGCAGGAAATTTTGCGCGAAAGTTTTCCCGAGGCAATTTTTGCAGCCAAAAGTTGTTTAACCTTCTTAGTTTTTGCAGCAGAAACTCACGGTGGAGAAAAATCGACTGCTGGCAGCGAGTCTCTTATTAAATGTATGAGCTTTGAAAATTTCCGAGGCTGGGAACGATATATCTTTAAAATGACACAATTTATTTTTTATCAAATCACAAGATATATTATTGGATTGAGTATCAGAATTTCATTTATGATTCAGGTTATCTCTTTCGTATACTTATTTAATAATAATGCAGCAGAGACCATGCATATTAACTAAGCTCTGTGTACGCAAATCGAAGATTCATAGAAAAGAGTTTGGATAAAATCCGATTAAATGATTGGGTCTTATGCTAAGAGCATTCAAAGAGATCCAACATTAACGTTTCAAATATGATTATTGGGAAATTCATTTATGTGTATTCTCATTGAGCAGCTTCTATTTCTGCAAGTGTAAACATCAACCTCATAAAAAGTCCTCATTTTATTAGCAAATTCCTCTGTTTAATATTAATCCAAATAATATAAACCTCGGGAACTTTTATAATATAAGTTTGTCATAAGTGTTCAAAGTAATTCACTGCTACATTACGACAATATTAAAGCGGCACTAGAGACTAAGCCATTAATGCGCGTTTAATAAGCGAGGTCACGGAGCTGAGATTGCGGGTCGCGGTGTCCATTTGCATTGCATCTTCGGCCGAGCATTGCCGGCCGGCAGCAGCTGAGCCGCACAGCGCCGGCCGGCAGCAGCGGAGCCGAACATTGCCGGCCGGCAGCAGCTGAGCCGAACAGCGCCGGCCGGCAGCAGCGGAGCCGAACATTGCCGGCCGGCAGCAGCTGAGCCGAACAGCGCCGGCCGGCAGCAGCGGAGCCGAACATTGCCGGCCGGCAGCAGCTGAGCCGAACAGCGCCGGTCGGCAGCAGCTGAGCCGAACATTGCCGGTCGGCAGCAGCTGAGCCGAACATTGCCGGCTGGCAGCAGCTGAGCCGAACAGCGCCGGTCGGCAGCAGCTGAGCCGAACAGCGCCGGTCGGCAGCAGCTGAGCCGAACAGCGCNCTTTCACGTCGCTGTCATGATGGGCACTGAGAGGTTTGGCTTCAGCTCGCAGTTTTAGTAGTCACGCCCCGTAATTAGCTGTCTCTTATACACATCTAGATGTGTATAAGAGACAGGTTTTAGGGATAGATGGCCGGTTATAGTTTCACGGCTCCATCCTGCTAAAGCGCGACCAGCCCGGCTAAACCCGGCGCCGGTCTCGGCTCAAAATTTTAACTGGGTCTCGCAGGTTCGCGACAGTGGCAGACGGATTCGTCTGCTTAGCCGTTCAGCAGACGAACTAACGCATCTGCACGTGAACCAACTAAATTCGCATTTATTTTAACCTTTTTCCGCAAATTGTGTATTGCCTCAAAATCAACCAAGAATGTGCCCTTATAAATGCTTTTTTTAGTATATTAGTATAGGATGGCTAAATTTGTTCATTTAAGTAGGTTTCATTGGAGACCAGAGAATTCGTTTTATTTACAATTTTCTTATTAGATTTTTCACTAGATCGAACAACATTTTTCGTTTGCACTGGTAAATCGAAAATCAGGGTACAGATGCACATTTTTATTTCTTTAACAACGTTACAAATGTATCAATCATTCTTTATCAAGTTACAAGACGCATTGAGTGAAGGAATTTGAATCGACATAAGTATAAAATAATGTAAATAGGATACTGCTCAAAAATAAAAATAAATAGAAATAATTACAAAATCATAAAAATATTAAGATCATCAAGAATTTAAAAGACCAAAATCATTCCGAAAACAATCTCAATGTTCTGAAAATTCCAGTAGTTTGAAGGTAGATGGCTGGGGTCCTATCCTTAATGATGAGGGCCTCATCATTAAGGCCCTTACATCACAAATGAAGAGTGCTGTGTGACGCATTTGATGCATCAA